AGAGATAATTGATCAAATAGGTCTCACTGTAAGGAAGCTCAGGAGTAAACTTTGAATGTTGTGTATGGTGACCAAAAGGTTGATGGCGATGCTTTGAAAGTGATGGACTTACAAGGTGAAAAATGGCTCGACGTTGGATCGAGAATTATTTCTTTTGAAAAGAGTTTCAAGCATTAAAGCACAATCTAGACAAACGCGATTAAATTATTACATGCCTTAGGAGTGAGGGTATATCTTGTTGAATGGGGATAAGAATAAGCAATAAACACACAACTCAAACAAAAAAGCTTACACAAATGGATATAAAATGAAAGCTATAGAACAATTTAATCGGATTTGAACTACAAGGATTGGACTGAAATTAAACAATCATAGTATATAAACTCACTCATAGTATAAATAACCAAGTAGTTAAATGAATGTCAAAGTTTCTTAACTTTGTATTAAAACTTTAATTTCTAATATTTGCATCATTTAAAAGACAAAAACATTTATTTTGAAATGAAATAAATAAAACAAAAATAAAATATAAAGCAGGTTTTATCATGTTCATGTAAGGCTTGTTTTGACAATGAATTGATGAACAGTGAACTTGAAATTGCATGGACTAATAATTGAACAGAATTACCATCTATCAGTAGAAATATTCCCACCACTAATAACTCAAACCATCTCCCAATAACCCAAACTTCTAATGCCTATCTAGCATACCAAAACAACAGATATAGCCTTAGCAATTTCTAGCAGAACGATTTGAGGATTATCGACGTTGACACCGGATACTGAGCTTGCACAAACACAACCTTGAGTCTATAGCTGTGCAATTTGTACCCTTCTCCTTATTATCGAGGTTCTTTCTACGAGATGTGACTTCGTGTTTCTACGAGATGTGAATTCATACCCTTTCCCTTATTATACACTTTTTCCTAATTTTATTATCAATTAAATCAAAATAAAATAAAATGCTAAAATGTGATTGGTCAATGGAAAAAAGTGAGGATCATGCATGTGCACCCTTGATTAACTTTTAATCTGACGATTCATATTTAATCAAAGAAGCACACCTAATTTAAAATGTCAAAATTGTCATTTCTAGAAGCCTTAATTAATTTAATAGAATTCAATCTATTAAAAACCACTAAAAATTCACAACTTATTAAATAAATTTGGTAAAAATGAAATGCAAGCATGGAAATTTTCATTAACGATTCTGTATATTTTGATAAAAATATAAAAATAAATTGGATGAAAATGAACAGAAAGATGCCTGAAAGATTAAATCGACTACACACAAAAGATTAACGTGAAATAAACAACTTGGAAAGATACAGTATCCAGTCAACTTTGGGAATTGACAGGGACTGGTATAAAGGCTCAGACTGTTCAAAAGTGGTTGAAAATTTGTCGAGAGATAAGACGAGCGCGCTAGATCAAGCTTTAATGGAAAGTAGGTCAAAATCATTAACGCCTGCATGCTTGAATTTGAAACTTTTCAATCACTGGTTTTTCTCGTATATTTGAGACACAATTCGACCAGTTCGTCCACATACCCAAGAGATTTATTTTGCCTAATCTTTTCAGGAATTATTCATACTAGAAAATACGTTATGTTGTACAAGCAATGAAAAATTGAAAATAAAGTTAGACAAATGAAGATTTGAAAAAGGTATGACAAATTTGGGGTATGACAACTGGTAAAGTATGTAAGTTTATCATCCTTTTTTTATCATAACTTTAATTTTCCTGATCTGTTGAAAAACCACGATATAGATAAGTTTGTGTCTGAAGTTGGTCCTTACTATCTTGACTTAGTAATGGAATTTTTCTCAAACTTGCATGTTGGAATTGATGGTTTTGATGATCACTATTTAACATCAAAAGTTAAGAATGTAGAAATATGTTTGGATTTAGAAGCTTTTGGGAAGTGCTTAGAAGTATCTCATGAGGGTCAGTATATTCGATAAGGCTATACTCCAGATTCTGATGGTTAGCTAAATTACAAGAAAATATATTATTATTTTAGCATTTCTCGTATTAGTTAGGGTGAAATTCTGAGTCAGAAAAATGTTGCATCTTCTCGAGTTTTGCAATTTGCTAAGAATTTGTCTATTAGTGATAGAATGCTTCACTATATTATTACATATGTTTTAATGACAAAGCGTTTGAATCATGCTCAAATCAGTGACATAGAGTTGTAGATTATGTATGTCCTCAAAAATGGGTTACTAGTCAATTGGGCATAGACCATCATGTACCATATGTTATATCAACAATCTCTGAGCGGAGGTCTTCCGTATGCTAGAATTGTTTCAAAAAATTTGGAATCAATTGATGTTCTTTTAAAAATATAACCAAATATTGATATGAATTCAAAATATTGTGAGATTAATGCTTCTACATGCCTCAAGAATACATGAATTTTCAAAAATCGAAATGGACAGTTTATATACAAAGATGATGCTCCTCAATTTGTTCCTCCACCGGCTCCGAAAGGTGACAAACGAAGCCCTTTATAACAAGATGTGCTCCATTGAGGCTACCATGCAAAAGAGTCACCAAGAACATACTTTCAAGATGGCTTCCATGAAGCGTATATTATTATAAAGAAGAAGAGGAAGAGGAAGACACCAATATGTTGGAAAGTGACTAATTTTATGATTGCAATATTATTATGTTATTTCTTTTTGTTAAGTTTTTATGAACTTTTTATTTAAGGATTATGTTATGTCAAATCATGTTATATTTTAGTTTAATATTTCGGTGTATTGAATATGTTATGTTTTGTCAAGACCGAAAACAAAGTAAAGTTTAAGAGACAATCAACAAAACCATATATATGTCTTCCTTTTAACGTATCAGAGACATGTAACTTCAAAAACCTCAATTGATTTTCATTGGTGCTTTGACGGAGTGGACATGGTCTTAGTAGTTGTTGCGTCCATCGAGTATGGTCAATGATGAAGGCTTGAATTGTTTTAGCATTGGTGTTCACCATATTTAATCAGAGAGAGGTTGGAAGGTCTAGAACCTGAGGTTTTGATTCTGGCGGCGCAAGTCATCAATGGCAGCATGCATTTTCTCTATGGCCTCTTCATTGCTGCCAAAACTACTGTTGGTCGGAGTTTCTGCCTATTTGTTCACCACATAATAGGTACCAATGGTACTCATTAAAATTACAATGAAGGAGAAACTCTAATTGTATAAGGTTGTGTAAGGGGTTTTAGGATTGTTGTTGGTGTTAGATTAAGTTCCCGCATGTATGGTGAGAACTTATGTATCTACGTGGTTTCTGAGTGAATTGAATCTATTCCCTTCTCTATTTTGTGGTTGAGGTATCTATATAAGTTTATTGGGCTTGGATCCTTAGACTCAATTGGTGATTATTCTGCCCCTCTTAGAAGCATTGAGTTTTTATTCTCCCTTATTCCATAGGAGCACATGGCCTTTTTCCTTGGAATGAGCTTTCATACCGTTAGTTCCCTAGGACAAGTAAATTCTCATGTTTCATGAGTGGGCATTAAGTGGTTTCAACTAATCCCAACATAGGGCGAGTAATGCGACTTAAGAGGCGAATACTGCATATAATAGGCACATGTTATGGTCATTGGGCGATTATAACCTCAATTTTGGAAAGTGAGAAGGGGTCGCCCCAACAGGATTTACTTGCACTAATTTGGTTTACATTCTCTATGGCAAAATGGAAGTATTTTAGTACAAATATGATCTCCAACTTTCACCTCTAGATTAAAAACATTTTTTCTTTTTATTGAACTTACATTCCACTTATTGATATATGTACCGATAGAAAATATTTTTCTCGAGTTTATATATGCATCAACAAAAAATATGTGTCATGTTTTTTTTTAATATATTTACACTAGCGTTTGTCCGCTTTTTTACTGCGCATGAATGAAAATATAAACTATATTTTTTTATTTAAATAATTTTAAAAAAATACAATATATGAAAGTTAATAATAAAAAGTTATCTGGAAGTTAATAATAAGAAGTTATTAGGTAAATTATATAATAAAGCAAGTGTAAAAATGATAGAAAAATAAGTCACACCAAAACAAAATATTCCCTTTATATATAGTTATAGATAAATGGCTGACTTACATTTTTATGTATGAATGATAAATTTTTGTCTCGTGTCTTTTTTAACTATATGTAATAATTATTGAATATGTATTTTTAATTTAAGTGATAAATATTTACTTCGTTTTATTTAAAATTATAAGTAAAAACATATAATATATACTAACACATTAAAAAGAACAATTCAAATATTTTATCACTAATAAGTATTAAATTAAACATGAATAGATAGTCCATTGAATCAAAGAGAGTGAATGTTAAATATTATAAAATAAGCATGACAAATATTTATAATTAATACTTTAAAAAATGGGGGAAAAAAAGTTTATAGTTTATTAAAATAATATAAAAAATATATGGAATAACCTATTAAACAAATATTTGTTATAAATAAAATTTAAGAAATACGAAAATATATTATGACATTTTTTTGTATAACATAATTTATAATACTTTTGACTACATTTTCCTATAATGACATTTTAAATATAATACTTTTGGAATATTTTTCTAGAAAACTATTGGTAGGTTTATTGAATATTATATATTATTATCTTTATTTTTTTATAAAAGAAAATTTAATTTTTAAATTCATTAAATATTTAATATATTTAATCTATATATAATTCAGATACATTCGTTTTTCAATGAATATAAGAATTAAGATGTCTCTTATAAAATGGATTGGAGGAAGCATTAAAAAATTATGTATTTGGTCAAGAAGAAATTTAATTTATTTTCAAAAAATAAAATAAAATGAATTTTTTTATGTATTTTCACAAGTAAAAAAATTATATTACCATTGCATAACTTGTGAACTATATATATATACTCCACCAGTTCACAAAGTTTAACTTACACCATCTTGGTTTCTCAAGCTTGAAGAAATATCAAACCATCATCATGAGATTTCAATCTCTTGTTCTCTTCTTCTTTATTTTGTTGGCTTTTGCCACCATGAATCAAGCTATACCAGTTGGTTGGAGTCCCATAAAAAACATCAGTGACAAATTCGTGAATAATATCGCCCTATTCGCTGTTCGCGAGTACGACCAACAAAAAGGAGTAAAATTGGAGTTTGATAAACTTATCAAGGGTGAATTACAGGCTGTCGGGGTGGCTGGGACCAACTACCGCCTCACTTTTTCTGCAAAAAACGGTTCATCTTATAATAACTATGAAGCTGTTGTGTGGGTTCAGCCAGAGAACTACTCATGGACCCTCACATCCTTTAAACGCACTTGAACTATTAGATACTGCTTATGTTGTGTTCTAATTAATAACATTGTTCTCATGTATGCCCTTATTATCATATCAATAAAAGTTTATATTTCTTATATCATAGTGGATTGTAGTGAAGAATTTAATAGAATTTAATAGATACAAATTATAGCATATTGTTACATATTATAGAATAATCAATAATAATAATAATTGTGTACTTTGTTAAATTGAAAAGACTTTCGGTTGAGGTAAAGTAAGCATGAGAGAATCTCTACCCTCATTGTGGTATAAAGTTTTTAGTGTATTTTAATTGCCTAACGGGAAGACACTTAAATAGCTAAACGGTTGAGGGTAGAGACCTCTAGTTGGACTTAACTGAATGGTTCAATCCATCATGCTCCATTCAGGCACAAAAATAGTTTTTTTATTATTTAATTATTAATTTTGTATTTTACTTAAGGTATTATTTCAAAAATATTTTTTTTTCACTTTTTCCATATTATTCGTAAAAATATTCAAAAAATCATAAAATAAAAAATTTTAGAAAAGATTTTGTTCTTTTTATAAAAATTTTAATTTTAGAAAGAATCAATATGATTTATACAATAAATCACAAAATCAAATAAAGCTGATTTTTGGGCTTTTGATTATTTTTATTGATCAAATTGATTTCTTTCTTTTTTTAATTAAACTTTTTGTGTTTTTCTCTTTTGTTTTTATTCTAACTTTCCTATTTTAATAAAAAAAATTACAAAAGTAGTTTTTTTTTATAATTTAATTATTAATTTCGTATTTTATTTAAGATATTTTTTAAAATATTATGTTTTCACTTTTTCCCATATTATTCGTAAAAATATCCAAAAAAATCATAAAATAAAAAATTTTAGAAAAGATTTTGTTCTTTTTATAATATTTTTAATTTTATAAAGAACCAATGTGATTGCTAGAATAAATCACAAAATCAAAATCAATTCATATTTGTTTTTGCGCTTTTGATTATTTTTATTGATCAAATTAATTCCTTTATTTTTTAATTAAACTTTTTGTGTTTTTCTCTTTTATTTTTATTCTAAATTTTCTATTTGAAAATCACAAAAGTAGTTTTTTTATTATTTAATTATTAATTTCGTATTTTATTTAAGGTATTTTTGTATAATATTATTTTTTTCACTTTTTCCATATTATTCATAAAATTATCCAAAAAATTATAAAATAAAAAAATATTCAAAATATTTTGTTCTTTTTATAACATTTTTAATTTTAGAAAAAATCAATATGGGCGTTTGAATATTTTTATTAATCAAATTGATTTCTTCCTTTTTTTTTAATTAACTCTAATTTTTCTTATAAATAGAGTCTTTTCTTCTCATAATTTTCACTTTTTGTGTTTTTTTCTCTTTTTTATTTATTCTAACTTTCCTATTTTTATAAAAAAAAATCACCAAAATAGTTTTTTTTATTATATAGTTATTAATATTGTATTTTTCTTCAGATATTTTTTAAAAAATATTATTTTTTTCACTTTTTCCATATTATTCGTAAAAATATCCAAAAAATCATAAAATAAAAAATATTGGAAAATATTTTGTTCTTTTGTAATATTTTTAATTTTAGGAAGAATCAATATTATTGATATAATAAATCACAAAATCAAAATCAATTAAAATTGATTTTTGGGCTTTTGATTGTTTTTATTGATCAAATTGATTTCTTTCTTTTTTTAATCAAACTTTTTGTGTTTTTCTCTTTTGTTTTTATTCTAATATTCCTATATTAATAAATAAAAATTACAAAAGTAGTTTTTTTTATTATTTAATTATTAATTTCGTATTTTTATTTAAGGTATTTTATAAAATATTATTTTTTTTCATTTTTTACTATATTATTCGTAAAAATATCCAAAAAATTCATAAAATAAAAATTTTAGAAAATATTTTGTTCTTTTTATAATATTTTTAATTTTAAAAAATATTTTGTTCTTTTTATAATATTTTTAATTTTAGAAAGAATCAATGTGATTGATACAATAAATCACAAAATCAAAATCAATTAATATTTATTTTTGGGCTTTTGATTATTTTTATTAATCAAATTGATTTCTTTCTTTTTTGATTTAGCTTTTTGTGTTTTTCTCTTTTATTTTTATTTTAACTTTTCTATTTTAAAAATCACAAAAAATAGTTTTTTTAATTATTTAATTATTAATTTCGTATTTTAATATTATTATTTTCACTTTTTCCATATTATTCATAAAATTATCCAAAAAATCATAAAATAGAAAAGTATTGGAAAATATTTTATTATTTTTATAATATTTTTAATTTTAGAAAGAATCAATATGATTGATACAATACCTCACAAAATCAAAATCAATTAAAATTGATTTTTGGGCATTTGATTATTTTTATTGATCAAATTGATTTCTTCATTTTTTAATTAACTCTAATTTTTCTTATAAATAGAGTCTTTTCTTCTCATAATTTTTCAGACACTCTCACTGATAGAATTACACAGGGTTTTGCACACAAAAGTTTTGGAGAGTTTAAAAGGTCTTAAGTTTTTATAAATCTTTAATTTTACTTTAATTTTGTTTTTTTTTCCAACCATATGATATTATTATGATTTGATTTATTTGTATTGATATTAATAGTTCACAAATCAACTAACCCAAATTCTCTTCACAAAAAATTATTTGACATAAAAACCCTCACTAATCTCTCTCGCACGTATAAACTCACAGTCACATCAAAATTTCTTTACATATTTTTATTATACCTAACAAATAATCTTGCATTACTCTTTTCTACCTTTATAACTATTCTTTCTCATAGATTTATAATAACTATTGGTTTATATTTTAACTTTTAGTTTCAAGAGATTTTTCAAATTTTTAACCTCACTTTTAATGTCTTATTTGCGTTGCAATTTCTGTATCTTTAAGCGAATAGTTGTTTCTAAAATTTTAATTGGGTTTATTTCTTAAATTTATTTCTTTTAAAGCAAATTTTAATGGAGAGAGGTCAATATTAATTAGTATTTTAGCTTTGATTACGAACATAATTAGTCTTAGTTTACTATTATTTTTTTAGATATTATTTCTATTTAAGTTTTGATTCCTATTTAAAATTTGACATTAGCTTTAATATTAACCTTAATTTTAAGCCAGATGTTTTTGAACTCGTTTCGATGTTAATTTGAATATTGGTTATGGCTAGGTCCTGGTCGAATTTTCTCGCTAGTTACTTCCGAAATTTCAACATTTATCTTTGATAAATCAAATTAAGATAGATGATTAGATCTTAGGTTTAACCTCAACTATATGACCATTTGGCATGACAATATTTAGGACCGAGTCTCCCTTAGATTTTTCTTTTATCCCTTGAATCACTCTCCTCTCTCTCGAATCAAATCAAGATACTTAATAAATACAATGTGTATAGTGCGTCACGAGCCTTAAGCACATGGGAAAAGATGAGCGGGTGCATTTCTAACCTCATCTTAGGGTACTTTGTGTGCGAGACGCTTGGATCGTTAACATGAAGTACTCGCTCCTATGTCATAGACTTTAGTGTGATACACATCATAAATAAAGTCAATCTACTTCTCTAAAATCATTGAATAAACTCAAACCATTTTTCTCCTTCGGGATTTCCTTTCAAACCTTTTTTCAGAAAAGGCATGTTACCTCTGTTCTATCGCAAACAGGCATCGACCCTAACTGTTGGAATGTGAGTTTAACATCGCTCATAAAAGACACCAACCAACCAATGGTAGATCAAACTGCGACTTCTCTGACTTCTTCATTCTCGTCCGAATGAGGATATGTAGGCACAAGGCGGCGAAGTGTTGGTGAGCACAGTTCCCCCATTCACCTGTAGTCCTTCAAACTACATTGACTATGACTTTCCCATTGAACAAGGGAATACGTAGTCCTAGGAAAGCAAAGTTCTATCGAGTCTCCTTTGGTTTTTTCTCCATGTAGTTTCTGTTAGCAAGTAAAGCTTTAAATATATACACCATTTGATTAGAACAGAGTCATACCCTCATTTTCACCCGAGAGCTTTTCACTCATACATTCATCTTATCATATATTACTGTGGTGCATGTCAAGCATGTGGGTTCGCAAGGGAAGGTCGAAGAAGTGTCTTTGCTTAGGAATAAGTGTTCGAGATCGATTTAATGGCTATGGAGAGCTAGATTTCCATCTTTGATTTGTAAAAGTTCTTGACATTTATAATTTGGATTCCCTAAAGTTTTTCCATAAATTTTGAATTAGAGTTTTATTATTCATCCTGATTGATCTCTTTATGATTCATCAGTTGGAGATTATTTTAGGGTTTCTATGGTCACGGTTCTTTCTATACTTCAAGCTTTACCATTCGTCTTCAAGGATTATTCAAGGAAAGAACTATAGTGTTTTCATGAAATCAAGGTGTGAAATTGGAGATTCATTGGATTCAAGATATTAGTATCATCTCAATTGCTCATGGTTTTTTAGAGGTTTCATCAAGGAATTAAGATGATTTGCATTCATTAAGAAATAAGGATTGTCATGAAGTCATTATTTGGAGAAATTCATTCAAATGACTAATTGATTTTATGGATGTAAATTATTGTTCAAGTTAATTAGTGTTTTCAAAATGATTATAGAAGGAAGGTACCCATCATCTCTATTCAAGTTCAAGAATCTTCTTTAGTTTTCAAATCAAATTCAAGACTAACTTACTCAAGTCGCCCATCAAAATTCAAATGCTAAAATTGTGCCATGAATATTTAAATTGCTTCATTTAATGATAAAAAAGATAATGACTAATTCATTCAAGCTCCATTCAAACTCGCTTCAAGGAGACCAAATTATGATTCAAAATTTTTAAATTTTTGCTTAAGAGCTATCGAGTCACAATCTCATTATAAGCAAATTTTAATCAACATTTCAAAATTTATTCTAATATCACTTTTCACTACATGAACAAACTTCAATTTCTAATTCAATTGCCAATAACAATCAAGATGCATGATTC